ACTGTACAGTTAACTGCATTAAATAAAACAGGGAAACAGACTTGGCGGCCACACTGGTGCCTTAAAGGCTGAACATTGTGAGATGTAGCTTTCGTAACGTACTGCTATAAAAGTATGACTTCTGTATGTTTATTGTTCAGCAGGAGAGATGGCAGTGCAGAAGTCAACCAGGAAGAGTCAGTCATGAAATAGAAACTGATCTAACCTTCATCTTTGGTAAGTAGTTCAAGTATCTCTTTAGAAGTCTCTGCTTCATGTAACACACTATTGTTTTCCTTCATCATTTGTAAGCTGTCTAGTGCTGTGCTACATTGATACAAAGCTCTTAGAAGAGTGATATTGTTTACCAAGTCAGGAAGATCTGATGAATTTTCAGCCTTTGCCATGGATTTCAGGCAATCCATTTCTATTCTTTCACCTTTGCAGGCTCCTTGAGCAGCATTCATGCTCTCTAGATTTTCCAACTCTGTTTCATTCATTTCTGCTTCTTCTGAAGCTGAACGACCTTTCCCTAAAGGACAGATAGCACTTCTGGAAATAAGAGTACTTTCCTTATTCAAAATGCCAGACAGATTTTGATGATCTTCTGTAATATATTGGGATGAGCCACAGCAAGATTCAGAGTTTTGTGACAAAGTCAGCACAGGGCCATCTGATTTGATGTAATCAATTTTAGTTCCCCGAAAATGTTCTAAATCAAGATCTGGGGATCTCATGCATTCAAGTTGTATAACATCATCTTCAGTCTGTCCCTCTGCTGTAGAAATTACACTGCTGGAAGCAGTACATGAAACATTTTCAGTTTTATTAAACATTTCAGTTTTAGGGTGACATTTGACATTTGTGTCACCAGGAAAAAGATCAAAGTGCTTGCTTTTTATTCCTGATGTGCCATTAATGGTAAGTGCTGCACAGCCAACAAGATCCTTCTTATTGTTCACGGCTTCAATACTTCCTTGGCTTCCTTTAATCTCTTTTAAGTTGTTTCTGTCATCCAGGAGCTCCACTTCAATTTTGGTCTGGTTTGAAGAGTCTTCCATACTTCTCTCTGTATCTGTAACATTGTTACAAATCTGTAATGGCATTTGCACAGTACAGTGATTGCCATCATTTTCTACATCATATGTTGAACACTCGATTTCTTCCTTTTTGCAGTGTGTCATCACTTCAAAGCAAGAATTAAGTCTCAATGCAGTATTTTGTGCCCTGTCTTCTCCCTCTAAGCAATCTGCGCTTTTTGAAAGCATGTCTTCAGTGAGCTCTTTCTTATTTCTTTCACAGTGCTCTCCATTGTCCATATCATGAAAATCAAAAGCCCCCAACAGGTCAAAATTAACCTCCATCACCTGTTTGTCTGGACTACAGTCTCTGCCACATGCACTTAATCCCTGCTTTGCAATTCCATTTTCAGTCACTGTTACATCCTCAGAGAGCTCTAAGTCACTAGGCATTCTTTCTGAATTTTGTTTCAGCTGAAGGTCACTTTGAGATTTGATTGATGAATTATCCTGAAGACCATTAATTGCCAAATGCTCTTTGTATCTGGAGAGAGGTTTTTCAAAGGTGACTGGACTTGTTGAACAAGAAGAGACAAATAGGCTGTCACTCACTCTGCTTATGGTTGATTCAGATAGTGAAGAACTGTTTGTCCTGCAGGGATCTTGTAAATCTTGGCTTAAACTATTAGCGTTTTTGTCATGTCTTTGCCCTTCTTTATCACAAGGTTCAGATGAATTTATAAGCAAACGTTCCTTTTTATCATTTACTATTTCCTTTGTAAAAGGCAAGTGCTGAATATTTTGAGCAATCTTTTTGTCAGAGTTGACAGAAAAGGCTGGCAGGGTTGTGCTTTTTAGGTTATACAAACTATTTATGTTTTCCAGTGCTTGAAATCTATGACATTCTGTGACTTCAGATGTTGCTTGCTCTCTGCAGACTTCTGGTTTAGATTTCAAAAGAGCTATGATCTGTGCTGTGCTCCTGATGTTCTGTGACACTGCCCCACGACCAGTTGTCCAACTACTAGACTCGGTGTACCCAGTAATAAGAGGAGGCTCTGGCTTTACCGTGGACTGATCAGAATTTTTCTTCTCTATTTCATTACATGTATGAAGAAATGGAAGTGAAACTACTGAGGAGGGAGTCACATGATCTCTGTTATCTGTACCTCCATCTTCATGCAAGCCTGCAGATAAGCTTGTTTCTGCATTCTTCTTGTAAATAGTAGAAAATAAGGGAGAGGTAATATAAAACCTGGATGGAAAAGGATCCTGACTCTGCTCAGATATAGGCAATACTGCCATTCTTTCTCCATCTTCTGCTGTTGATGCTTTTTTTTCAACCTGACGTGGCCCTTGGAAACCCTACAAGAGGAATTTAAAGTTAATTCTACTCAGAAAACAACTTCACATTTCATAAGCAAAAGATGAAAATTGAGCACATTCCCTAAGGTATATTCACAGAATCATAGGAGTTGGAAGGGACCTCTGGAGACCATTTAATCCGATCCCTTGCTAAAGCAGGTTCCCTACAGGAAGTTGCATAGGAAAGCCTCCAGGTGAGTCTTGAATTGAGTACCTCCAGAGAAGATTCCATACCCTCTCCGAGCAACTTGTTCCAGTGCTCTGTTACCCTCACAATAAAGAAGTTTTTCTTCAGGCTCAGAGGGAACTACCTGTTTTGCAGTTTGTGCCCATTACCCCTTTGTTCTGTGTCTGGGAACCACCAAAAAGAGCCTGGCCCCATCCACTTGGCTCATGCCTTTTAAATATTTTATATAATATATTTTTATATATTTTATATATATATTACATATATATATATATATAAATATATAGAGATAACTTTGTGACAGATTCCCCTCTCAATCTTCTCCAACAACAAACTGTCTTGGTTGACTCAGATAAAATAGTACATGTATAACAATTCCACGGGTGTATAAAAATAATCAAGATCCTTGCAATTTTCACAGAAGCTTTAGCAATAGTAATACTAAACTAAATAGAGATTTAAAGAGTCTTGGAAAAAATAGCTACTGGTACCATGACTTGACTTACAGTTCCAAAAAAAGGTAGGAAGACATTATCTATATATTTACTATTCCATTTAAAAATTGCCCTTTCTGTTTTTAAATGTACGTTAATGTCAGACAAATTTTGAAACAGACATACTGTAAACTTCCTCTTTAAGCCAACAGACAGATGCCTTGGAGGTAGAACTCCAGACTTTACACCACGTCTATTCATGTCTACTTTTTCAGCTTTCCTTGGTTGATCTTCACAAGATTTTTCCTTCATTTTTGCTTCTTCAACCATGATCAGATATCGTTCACTTTCTAAATTATCTCCAGAATTCACCTAGGAAAAGAGAATGCAATAGTGTGTATGTAATAGTGCAATTTAGGAAACTACAGATCTTCTAAATATTGTATATACTCAAGTATAAATTTTTTAGAAATGTAACATTTTGTACCCAGCACATCACAACCATTGTATATGTAGTTAGATTAATTAATAATGGAAAACATTAGCACCTAGTTATGTTCATTTAATACGTTACCATGATATGCTGCTTTTACCCAACCAGTGTAATTCTGTGAATCCTCTATATTGGTTCTGGAAAAGCAATAGTAAGTTCTATCAACAATTGAAAGCATTTTTAGTTTTCTATTATTTGCACTACAACTGCCAGAATGCTGGGGAAAAAGCACCATCTTAATCACCAAACAGGAATTTGAAATGCAAACCACAGTAATAAGCATAAAAACCAAGCTCCAAATAAAATATACCTGGGATTTTACAAACATACTCTCCAAATATTGTCCTTTATCATCAAGCAACATTGCCTGCAAGGAAAAATAAATGGAATTAAAAAAAACAGTTTTACTTCAGAGGTCGACTAAATGGCCACTGACTGTCAAGCAGATGACATTAAATCTAAAGACGCTCACCTTATTTTCTCCAGGTCTAATCCTCAGAATTCCATCTTGCCACGTTTTTGATTTTTTCATTTTTTGGTGAGTGTATAACACCTGATGTAAAAGGGCGAGATGTTGGAACAATCATAAATTAAAAAAATAAATAACACAGCAGTGTCATTTGACTGATTTTTACTTAGCGACATCGTGTTAAAAAACTTACAGTAAATTCTTGAGAAGCCATTGGTGCGGCAGAATGGTCCTTCAACAGCTAATTTCACAACCTGAGGGACAGGGAAAGGCTCAAAATAAACCGCTGTTTAATAAAGCCAGAAACCGCTAACAGAAGAACGTTGTCACCGGTTCACCAGCTCCCGGACTGCGGAGCGGCCATGCGTGCGGGACCGAGGGGGCAGGGCCGGCCCTCGCAGCCGGCTGCCGTGCGGCTGCGCCCCGACGCGCTGACAGCGACAGCGCAGCAACAGCCGCCCCGAGGGGATCGGCAGCGCTCCCTCAGCCCTCCGAGCACGGGAGGAGCGGGACGCGCAGCGACGTAACGCGGAGAGGCCCACACAAACGCGCGGCCCAGCGGTGACCCAGCGCGTTACGCGCCCCCGGAGCACCGCCCCCCGCCACCCACTCGGGACCCGAAGCGCCCCACGGCCGCCGCGCACCTGAGGCGGCCGCCGCCGTCCCGCCGCTCTCCGAACTTCCCGCCACGGCGCCTGACGTCACCACGCCCTGACGGCGCCGAGGAAAGCCCGCCGCCTCACCCCGCCCGCCGAGAGGAAATCACGTGCGCCACGCGAGGCGCGGCCGCTCCCACTCCGCGCATGCGCGCGTGGCTCCGCGGGGCTTTTCTCTCCGCGGGATCCGAGCGTCGCGCCCGCAGTGACGGCTGAGAGACGGGAGAGGGAGAAGAAGGCGGTTGCGAGAAGCGGGGGGTGCGGCCCGGTGTCCCCGCGGCGACGCCGCCCCGCGGCAGGTCAGTAACGCGCGGCGGGGGTGACCGTTGGGGGGCGGTTGCGGCGGCGCAAAAAGGGGGCGCTGCCGCACGCATGCGCGGGACGCAGCTCGCGGGGCGGGGCGGCGCGGCGCCGCGCCGTTGGGTGCGGGACGCGTGCCGGGCGGCGGTTGCGGTCTTAAGTGCGGCGTGAGGCTGAGGCGTTCCGCCCGCCCTTAGAGCCACAGTCGGCCCGCACCGCCCGCGTTCCCCGGGAACAGGTGGCTGGCTGGTCCCGCTGGTAACGGTTAGGTCGTAGCGAGGAGAATCTGCTTCTTCTCTTTGTTTGAAACGGGAGAAGGGAGGCGAGGCTGTGCGGTGCCTCCGGGGCGCTCCGTCAGCAGCCGCTAACGGGGCATCGGTGCTTCTTGTTGTGCGTGTGTCCCGTGCGCTGCCTGCTGCTCCGCTCCCGCTCCGCCTCCGTGAATGAGACAGTTCGTGCATCCAGGAGAGAAGCACCGCAATATGTCGGCTTCTCAGGTGCGAGAGCTGCCCTGGCTCGGCAGAGAACGAGATGCAAGGAAGGAGTGTAGCAAGTGAGAGCGGAGCTGGCGCTGCCCGGCTCTGGTCGCTGTGAGGGGACGGGCTGAGCGCGGCAGCACCGCCGTGTGCGCCAGTCCCAGGCGCAGCACACGCCGTGTCTTGTGACAAGTGGCAAACAACTCTGCTGTCACTTTAAAAGGTCGTACTGGTTTCATGCCTTGGACTGGTGAAAGAGCTGTAGGGTCTGTTTTATAGATAATGAAGCAAACTGTGCAAGTCCTCATGTGCCATCTTCTGACCTTTGTCACGTCATTTTCTGTAGGTTGAAATTACAGGGTAAGAAATGAATTCGGAGAGGTGCAGCTCTCCATTCGCGTGTAGCGAGGAATGCCCAGGGTGGTCTGCAGAGTACATTTATAAAAGCAGTTAGAGGCGTGCTACATGGTTGCATTTATTTTGTTTATTTTGTCCGGAAGGGGAATTATTGTCAGTTAGTATGGAAGCATTCACAGTATAAAGCACGTTTTGTACGGTCCCCCCTCTCATCTTGATGCTTAAAGGCCCACAGTAAGCGAGCAAGTTTGATATCAGTGCTTGATATCACAGATGTTTTACAACTGGACCCCTGTTCCTTTCCTTTTGTATGACAGATGTTGTCACGTTTCTCTAGGTATCTTTGTAACAGCAGTTAAATTTGAAACTTGTCTCTGAAATTTACTGCCTGTATAATTTAATATTTGCCTTCTAAAAGGATGTAAGTATGTCATCACAGATTTGTGTGAATCTGTATCATTTTGATTTACATCATTTTGTTGTTTTTTTTTCCCCTCTGATGAGTTATTCTTCCTTTTCTTGGTTCCTTTCTTGCACACTGATAATTTAATTTCAGTTAAGGAAAGGTAACAGCTGTAGCTGTGTAGTTTTAATAGACTGAAATCTCGACTTCAGCTTTTGCTTTCTTCTGATTTACGTTGTTTGTGAGAACAGTGCTTGTGGTTGTGAGGCTGGCAGTGCGAGAGCTGGCCAGGCAGCAAAACCGTGGACTGCCTTACATCCTGACATTGCAGCATTCCGTGTTGAGAATTGCGAAATTAATTGCGAGCTGAAAGAATACCAGTGAAAAAGCAAGTGCTATGAGTTAGTGATATGCTTTCCTATCAGCAGAGTTTTCACAGAATCACAGAATGGCCCTGGTTGGAAGGGACCTCAAGGATCATGAATCTTCAACCCCCTGCCACATGCAGGGCTACCAACCTCCACATTTAATACCAGCCTAGGCTGCCCAGGGCCCCATCCAGCCTGGCCTTGAACACCTCCAGGGAACACCACAGCCTCTTTGGGCAGCTGCTCCAGCACCTCACCACTCTCACAGCAAAGAACTTCCCCCTGACATCCAAATGTTTTTTTTAAATGCTGAATGAACTCTCAGGTGTATTTCACTACTGAAAAACTGTATACAGATTCTAATAATAGATTCATAGCTGACACTTGCTCCAGTTCCAGGCTCCCCAAAGCCACGTTTGCAAAGCTTTATTCCTAAAGCAGCGCCTAAAAGTAGGTATGGGGGTGGAGGAGGAGCAAAACAGAGCAGAATACAGCTTGTAGCTGTGTTTCCCGAGTAACTCAAAATGTATGAAATGATTTAGATAGCTTCCTAAAATAAAGCTCTGCTGTACATAAGCCGGATTTGTTATATGTTAGTGGGGTCATAAAATACTGTTCAACTAAAGAAAATATCTTGTAATGATGTAACTCACTGTAGCTTTCAGTGAAGTGGTATGTTGTGCTGATAATTAATGTAAGTTGCTGAAGGGCTCGAATGTAGCTTGAACTTCAGTTGGGAGTTCTACCTGGCTTATCTTTTCAAGGTAATTGCCCTTTCACTGTCTTGAGTGGTGAGTTCACAGCAGGGAGAGAAACTGATATCCGGCTAAGGAGGCGCGATTTGCACAATAGTTTGAAGACCATCTCCATTGTTGTCCCGCTGCAGATGTCAGCTTCCTCTCTGATGGCTGTACTTTTGTTTCCTTATGTTGTGTACGGAGAGCTGAGAAGTCTTTCAAATGATGATTTCCATATTAATCGCTTTATTTTTTGTGTAAATTTTATTTTTAAAAGCTGTCTGCTTTTGCCAGTATTGCTTTGCTTGGCTTGAGTAAAGTACTCTGGCATTTTTCTAGGATGACTGCATACCTTCAGTGAGCAGAAACATGAGACAAAAAAAAGGTGAATTGATCTATGTAGAAGTTTTGATATTTTTTCCAAGTAAAGCTGTAAATTCAAGTCACCTGCTGTGGTTTAGTCCCTTTTTGCAGGGGCTCGATTCCAAAGTTCCAACAGAACTTGATTTGCCATTAAAATCAGTGACTTTTGGTGAAAGATCTCCAACCAAAGAAAGATGTGTAAGTGTAGCACTTACTGAATGGCACCTGGATTTACGAAAAGGATGGGAATTGTATTTTGTAATAAAGGTTAATAGATGCTTCTCATTTGGAAATCTTACTGTATGTTCTTGCGGTGATGCCATCTGCAGCTGTGTGTTAATGTAACCTGCTTGCAAACGCTGGGTTTACAAGATATGCCTGCTGAGTGTTGTCCTTCGGGCCAGCCTGTTCAGAAGTTGCCTAGATAACCTAGCTTTTTTTATTCTACTTTGCCTTCTACGTAAAAGGGTAGCTTCTGAGTTGTAGTTCTTTGCATTGTTTTTTCCTTTTTCTTTCTTTTTTTTTTTTTTTTGTTGGAATCTTTCTAATGGTTTGTACTGGGACACTTGGGAAGGCGTAAAGATCAAGTAAGTTCTGTCCTTTTTTCAGCTCTAAGAAAATGTATTTATTGGGGGGCAAAGATCTACTTTTAGATGGATTTTGTAAACTCCCTTTAACGGGTTGTTTCCTTCTCTGCTAACAAGGAATTTGCCTTATTGAAGGACATTTAATTGTCTCCACAGGTACTTCATATAATTCAGTAACATATTTGTTAATAGCCTTGCTTTTCTGACAGTGCATGAAAACAGTTGAAACTGTAGATGTCACGGCTGAAACTCAAAAGCTTTCTTTAGTAATCTAATGGGGAGAGCAGGCTGCTCATGAAGCTTTCTGGATTAACAAAATAGAACAAATTTTCAATGGAAAGCCTGTGGTTTGGTACCAACCTGCTTGCAGTGAATTGCTGTGGCTAGAAGGCATTGCAGGGAGCTGTGAGACTTGGGTTTCAGCTTAGTCTTCACTACACAGTTATTCTGTGACCTGAAGTTTCTCACTTTCTTTGTACTTGGCATTTTTCTATGCTACGCAGTATTGAACGGCTCATGTTATTATAGGGAATGCATAAAGCTAAGCTCCTTAACATGTGATAAAATTTCTGAAAATTACTGCGTGGAAGAGCAGTATTTGTTCCATGCCATAACATTACTTTGATTTTCTCAAAGGTTATATTTAACTTTTGATTGACAGAATGACGGGAATGGAGACTGAAGCTGCAAGAGACAAAGCCATGGAAGAAGAAAGCACTGAACAGAAGAAAGAGAGGGAGAAAAAGAAGAGGTCGAGGGTTAAACAGGTGCTTGCAGATATAGCTAAACAGGTGGATTTCTGGTTTGGCGATGTTAATCTCCACAAAGATAGATTTCTTCGAGAACAAATAGAAAAGTCCAGAGATGGATGTAAGTTTGTATTAATTGCATGTCAGTAAACAGAGGTGATTTTGATTTTCTTCTTTGCTATATTGCAGGTGATGTTAAGTTTATTTTTAGGTGCATGTCTGCTTGTCTGGAAAAAAGCAGATGTATACTGGAAATCAACATTAGAGTTTGTTAATAGTTTTTTGTATGTATCTTTTTTGCTTTCCTTTACTACCAGCTGTAGAAGTAAATCAGAGGCATCTGCAACGGATGTAGAGACTGTTTGAGAGACCTGATTTTTAAAGAAATATTTTTAGTATAAACGGGGGTCATTATTTCCCTTAGATGTATGCAGGAATGAGAATGCCACTTTTTCAGGTTGATATACTTTGTTCCTCTTTCTTGGACAAATTTGATATGTGAGAGATTCTGCATTTGCTTTTATAGGGGCTTTTTATAGGTCTCTTCTCTGCTGACAATTTTTTGACAAGGTTCATTTGACTTCAGATTAGGAGATAGACATTGATTTTGAAACAACTTGACACATTCTGAGGCAGAAGTTAATTTGCACGTTAGCTGCAAGTATTTGCTTTTTGCTTTAAGGATAGTAAATTTGTGGTTAGGACGATCTATCAGCACATTTGCTCAATTGTGTTACTCCAGATGGATAATTACATCAGTTGTGTTATATCTATAGAGAGAGAGACACAGTCCTTTTCCAGCAAAAGAAATAATCTATTTCAGATTCCATAAGTGTTCTTACTTTGTTTTCTTAAGGACTCCATGCTTGTTTGAAGTATAAATCATTAGGCCGTCTGTGTTGTGTGAGAAGTCTAATCTTCTTATCACTTGTTGGAGTTCTCAATTGTATTGAACTTGAAGTCATTTAAAAAAAAAAAAATGTTCAGAGGAACAGTCTTTACATTTTCTGTGGGTATTAGAGTTTGGATGTCTTGAACAATTTTTAACCAAGACTGATACTGCATAATTTTCTGTTCAGATGTTAGCAGCATGACTTATCTTAGCTAAAGTAAAAGCAGGGCCTCTTCTGTATTGGAAAGGTTAGGTTACACACTCAGTTGAGTCCTTGAAGGAGAAGCATGTTTTCAATGCAAATTATTTCTGTACTGTAAAAGTACATCAGAAAGGCTTTTTCTTTCTTTCCAAGGACAATTATCATTTGGAAGGTAAAAGGGGAGATAGAAATTCCTTTGATAGATAACATTTAACAAAACATTAAATATAGAGTTCCTTGAAACTTGAATTCTGATGGTAACACTTTTCTGAAAATCCTCATCAGTATGCAGTGTGGTTGCATGCTGTAGTTATGACTTGCACGTTCTTTTCATGGGAATTCTAGCTTGTTATTGATGTCTGGTTATTACACAAAAATAAGGGTTTCTTGATCGCATTAATTTCATCATGTGCACCTTTTTTTTTCTCCTCAGATGTTGACATATCACTTCTTGTTTCTTTCAACAAAATGAAAAAATTGACTACTGATGGAAAATTGATAGCACGAGCCGTTAAAAGTTCTTCTGTTGTAGAGGTGAATGTTTAATATTTCACTCTTTTGTGTTTGATGCTATTGGATTAGTGGTTATAGTGGAACTGAAGTAATCAGTCTTACAGAAAATGCTTTTTTCTGGTTAAATTCTAGTTGGACTTAGAAGGAACTAGGATTAGAAGACGCCAGCCCCTGGGTGAACAGCCAAAGGATGTGGATAGTCGTACAGTCTATGTGGTAAGGTTGTACCTGTTTTATAAGCCTCATGTATGACAGCACTTTATTTCTAGCTATAGCAACTACTTTAAACTTACATTCTTGCTGCAAAGTATTTTGGAGTGCAAAAACCACTGTACATCTTTAAAGCTGTAATATGATTGCAAATTATTACAGTAATAAGAATGACACATTCAACAAAGCAGCCATGTAGTTTTACCGGAGTTAGAAGTTGGATTTTCTTGGACAAGATCATTGATTTAATACAGGAAACAAAGGATTTTTTTCTCAATTAAAAAAAAAAAAAGGGCAGTGCAAAGGGGAGAGATGCACTGTAGGTGTACTGAACTTGTAATGATGAGACTCTTAGCTTAGGCTTAATATATACTTTCAATGCAATAAAGATTTTTGTTTTGGAAATACCTGTGCATTGATATTGTTATTAGCACAGGGAGGTCTGACTACTACTGCTTGTGCCGAGTAAAGGAAGTAAAGAGAAAGTAGGTGATCACTGCCAGAGACCAGGGCAATATAGAAGTGGGGTTAGTGTGGTATGTGGTATGCTGTCTTCTAGTACTGTCTTGATCTAAAATGCTGAGCAGAGCCATTTCACATCCCAGCTTGGAAATGGTGTATTTTCATCCATATATTACTACTTTAACTGGGCTTTTCTGATTAATGTTGCTAGAGGAGTAACGGTGGTTACCAATAAATGTTTATGAAGTATGTTCATGTAGTCAAATCTTTGGAATAATAGTTTTATCAAACAGCACGTGCTGAAGACAATCAGTCATGCTTCATAAAATACAACCTCTTTATAAAATCTGTTACTGCATGTGCTTCTGGTTTTGTAGAACTGGGATTATTTTAGTTGCAGGATTTACGTAGGTGAGTTGATCTTATGTTAAGGTTGTGTTTTTAAGTACTCCTACTAGCACAGTGTGGCAACCTTACTAGTTAAACGATTCAATAACGTAAATGAAAATAGCTTATGCTGCATCTCAACGTGGTATTTTAGATCTCAGAGTAGGTCTACTATTATCATATCGTTGAGTCACTTATGTGGTAATAAGAGAAGAGATCTGATGGTTGTACTGTCACTTATTTAAAAGTCTTTGCATTTTTAATATAATTGAAGCCAGTATGAAGGCCTTCAATTGATCTTTTTGTGGCTATTATAATTTAGGTTTATTCCCATAGCTTTTAGCAGCTAGGTCTTCCTGCAGTTAATAATTTCAAGCAGGCACCAAGCTTCCTCGTTGAAGATGAGTAATATTCATGTCCAAAATGCCATCCCACCCAGGTAAATAGAAATTGGCTTACTCTGATCATTGTGTTCTTTAACTAAAACCCAGAAAGACTTGCCACTTACATGAAGTGCTATCTAGCAATCATGGTATTGCTCTGCTGTGATGACAGGAACTTCTCAGATGCTGTTTCTACATACTTTTCAGAGAAGATATTTCAATTTATTGAGTGATATAACCTAACTACATCGTTAATTGGGTTTTCTTTAATCTTAACTTCTTCTGTAAGGTCAAAATAGCTTATTTGTATTTTGTAATTTAGTTCATACAAATCTTATTTGGAGAATATGTAGCAATTCAGAATCTTCTCCTTATCACCAGAAGAGGTACAGAGTTGTTTTGTAGTTGTTTGTTGTTTTTGGTTTTGGTTTTTTTTTTTGGAGAGGGGTATTGCTTGTTTTTTTTTCACGTTTTAAAAGACTAGTGTGTAAGATGCCCACCCTTTATTTTGTTATTGTAAAACTGTAAAGCAGTGTTACTCGTTAAGTCATTTTACTCGTTAAGCCATGAGGGGGAGCCGTGCTCCTTTAAGGAGCAGTAAGTTCATTAGTTTGCATTTTCAAGAATTTTTTATTTATTTTATTTATTTGAGCTGTTTTCTTTAACTTTCTTTGAAATGATAAATTGTACTCATCTCATAAGCTTTCAAACTTGAAAAATATTATGAAAAGCTTATGAGATGTGTATGATACAAAAATAACATATTTAAATAAAATATGTCAAAAATAAAGTCACTGATCATAAGATTGTTTCAAAGAAATTTAGCTTTTCAGTATTATACCAAAACCACAGTGAAATGTTTTCCTCAAACAGGCAAAGTTCATGTAAAGAGTTTTCTACCCAAATAGAATAATAGCATTTCTTAGAGCAAAGAGCTTCTAGTGTGATAACTTGTCATGAAAAAAAAGAATAAAAGATTGGTTACTTTATTTAGGCATGAAGCTGGGAGTATTGTTTTTAAATTGTGTTCAATTGAGTCTCTTTAGGAATTGGTACAACAGAATGTTTCTTTGATAAGAAAAATTGTGAGGAACTGAGGCATTGTATCTGCATGCTGCTAGAATGTGTTGCTGTGTTAAAAAGCTTGTTGAGTAGTACCTCTTCAGTGGCCCGTAGGAATTAAATTGTGTGATACCTGAGTTTTCAACAATATAAAACAAAAAACCAACAACAAATCCTTGTGCTCTACACTGACTAGTTTTGACCATTGACTGACAGTGTAGAGTTATGCTTTCTCAGAATTCTTAACTGGAGAGAGATGGTTTATCTTTCCAAGATGCAGTGACATGTGAGACCTTGGTGTTTCTGTCAAGGGAAGAAGATGAACCTGTTTAATTCAGTACAAATTATTTGTTAAGATTAGGTGAATGGATAGAGATCCATTTTTCAGATCATTTTTTACTGTCTGAATGTTATGACCTGCTGACAAGAATATTTACAGCAATCAAGTTTTTTTTTAACGTTACATCAAGCATCTTTTTTGTGAAGAACTGTAATTAGATGCAGTAAACCACCTGATAAAATGATAGTGCAATACTGAGAAAACAAGATTTCTTTTTATTTTTATAGGAGCTTCTTCCCAAAAATGTCAATCACAGTTGGATTGAGAGAGTGTTTGGGAAGTGTGGTAATGTAGTTTATGTCAGCATACCCCGGTATAAATCTACTGGTGATCCAAAGGGATTTGCTTTTGTTGAGTTTGAAACTAAAGAGCAAGCGGAAAAAGCTATTGAGGTGAGTAGTGGCACCTCTCATCTGTCAACGTTCTTCCTGTTTGTGTGGCAGTGATATGGACATAGAAATTTCGGTATGTGAAGTCCAAAATATCATAACTGAAATCCTGAGCTATAGCAGGAATTATGTCCTGATCTCTTCCCCTCAGAATTGCTATCAATCCCATAAATCCTTAAAAGTTTAAATTCTGATGTTTGGAGATTCAATAGAGTCATTGAGGGAGGGGGGGTGGCAGTGTGTTGAACTAATTTTATTGGCTAGCATTGGCATCTTATACAGAATTAGAGATCTCCATAACAGTAGAATGGCTAGCTAAATTTCTTGATAGAAGCATAGTTGCTCCAAGTTAACTGGCTGTAAATATACATTTGAAAATTTAAAAGTTCCTATATCATAATGGTGACAGAGGCACAAATATGTCACACTAATAATGTGAAATAAGTGAGTTCTGAACTTGTCCAAAGTCACGGAGGGTGTCGTTTTTCTTGAATGAACACTGCTGGTTTTAACTTGAATGGGGATTCTTTGCTTAACAAAAAAAAAGTGGATTGTTCAAAATTAATTGATGGATTTTGTGTTGTTTTTAAGTTTTTGAATAATCCTCCAGAAGAAGCGCCACGGAAACCTGGGATTTTTCCCAAAACAGTAAAGAATAAGCCTGTCCCTGCACTGAACACAAGTAACAGCTGTGTAGTGGGTAAGTGTTAAGTTGGTAGGATCAAGACTAAATGCTTTGTGTTTCAGCCTCTGAAGAGTTTTGAACTGATTGCTCTTATAATCTAATCTCACATTTCTTAACCTTGAAGAAATAAATATGCTTTTTTTTAGTGCTGCTTTTCTAGGCCAACGCAGACTTAAAATGGAATTGTAAAATTCAAATGTAGGAGGATTCTGCTTTTTTGTCTTCCTGCTTGATAAGAAATTCAGTATCTTTTTTCCCCTCTTGCCAGTTATCATTAGTCATTGTTATGCCAGCAGAACAGCTTACAGACTATACAAGTGTTATCTAAACACTCAGCACTAGCAAAAGGCAATTGGAGATATCGTGTTAGTAATATTTAGTATTGAAAAGAAAGGTACAGACACGAGAGATTATTTTTGAACTTTAGTGCTGTTTACATAAGCTTGTGATCATCTGACATCAGAGGAAACCTTGTGCTATTTTTCATTCATCATTGAAATTCTCAGTGAGAGAAATTTGAAAACCATGTTTTTACAATTTTCCTTTGAACAAAGCAGCTTTTAGCAGAATGAACTTTCTGCAGCTTATTTAATAATTCACTTTACATGGTCTATAAATGATCACATAAACCTTGATTACTAATTACTAAGAAGAATCATGAATTCACAGTTTCCAATAAAATATAGCTACTGTAATTTATGAAGCTGTGTAACAGGGTCATGTACTAACTCTGATTCACTGAATCATTTTTCCTCTTGTTTCTGATAGCCTAATACAATTTCCAAGCCATCAGAGAACTTCCTACGTTTTTCTCAAACCTACTGATGAGTTGTGTTCCTCATTATTGTCACTGATTCTTTGTTCTATCATTAGAGCAGTTAGGATTAAGACTATATTTTAAAAAAATCTTTTAAACAGTCACAGAGAATATCAGGGATTGGGAGGGACCTTGAAAGATCATCTAGTCCAGTCCCCTTGCTGGAGCAGGAACACCTAGATCAGGTCACACAGGAGCAATGCTTTAAACCCCTCTAAAGGATGTTCAGAATGCTCCATGCTGCATCCTACCCACAACAGTTTTGAAGCAAGTATTGTGAACAAAATGGATTTTTTTTTTCCTACTGCTTAAGTTAGCATTCTTAATGGGCAGCTAGTTTTTAGGGTCACTTTGAGTGACTCCTTTTTCTGGGAATATAAATCAGTTTTTTTTCATGTTTGTCCTTGGCTGGCCTGGAAGCTGGTGTGTATTTCTTCTCAAAGACAAGAAGCAATGACATAACATCTTAACTCCTTTCTTAATTTGAAAACAGGTATTTTGGGGAAACCTGTAGTGTGTGACAAGACTTTTTCCCATTTTGTAAGACCATGTGTTCTTTTTAGTTTTTTTAAAATTCTGATCAGAATGCCTGAGAGGAACTTTGGGGCAGTGTGTTGCATCTTAGTTGTATAGCTAGAGATGGTAGAGGCAGACACCTATTTAACATCTCAGATTAGCATGACCAGTGGTATAACAACTGTTTACTTGGGTCAGTTAATCTAACTCAGTTGTTAATCATTAGCAGTTGTAAATATACTTTTTTTTTTTTACATAGAGGAGAAGAAAAAGAAGAAAAAAAAGAAATCCAAAATGAAGAAAGAAGGCAATGTACAGGCAGCTGTAGAGGCAAAGGAATCTAATGTGAACACTACAACAGAGCAAGCACCCAAATCAAAAAGACACAGGAGTTCATCGGAATGTTCAGAGATGGGGGGAATTGAGGTTCACAGGCAGCTCTCAAAGAGAGAGAAAAGAAAATGGGACAGATCAGAAAGCTCAGAAATACCTTTGGAAACCAGGCCAGGAAAGAGAAAAAGAAGTAGTTCTGGAGATGGTGAGATATCAGTTGCAAAAGTCAAGAAAACTGTTCAGAAGGATGAAGTTCATCCTGTAAAAGAAGAAACAGCTGAAGCTCCAAAAGATTCTAATGGTAAAGTTCTCTGCATGTTTTTTTCTCTATCATTTATATAATGAGTAGCTGAAAGGCAGACATAATCTGTCCCAGATGGATGGGAATGAGGGGAATGGGAATGGCTTGGGAATGAGGGCAAGGTTTAGGATAGGCAAATTGCTAACCTCGTGAATGGAAGGCAGCTTTTTCTGCAATGTAATCTGTGTAATACAAATAGTTAAGAAACCAACTCTTGAAGGCTAGTAAGCTTATTGAATTAAAGATAGGTAACGTTCAAACTGGTGGTTTGCTCTGCTTGAGTCAGTAAGTAAAAATTGGTGTAGTTTAGACAGAACAAGGTCAGTTTATGAATATTTGGGATTTTCTGCTGTTGAAATTTAACCTGATAATGAGTCATTTCAAGGAGATAACCTACAGGGAGAATAGGGAAGGTCTTTAACACTGAAGTAGGTAAATCTCATCAGAAATAGAAATAGTTAAAAGAAGTTCAGTATTCACTGAAGATACAAAGTATGGATTAAACTTAGATAAGGTTAAAATACAAAAGGAAACTGATGGTCTCAGTTTCTTAGAGGAGATAAGGAAAAATGTCAGTAGATCAGATTAAAAGCTGCATTGCAATTGCATTTGCACGTGCAAGAAAAATCCAGTAGAGATCTCAGCTGGGAAAGTGGACTAGAAATTTTATTTGAAATGGCAGCAAAGAAAAATGGTGGGAAAGGAAACTTTGCAGTTGTCTACTGCCTCTATATTAAACTTTTTTTCTTTTGGATTTTTAATTTAGAAATTCCTGTGGAAGATGATAAAGATGGTGATAAAAAAGACACATCACTTTCAAAGTCTAAAAGAAAGCATAAGAAAAAACACAAAGAAAGACACAAGATGGGTGAAGAAGTTATTCCACTCAGAGTACTCTCAAAGTAGGTTTTAATATGTGGCTTAAAGACTTATCAAAGTCTTTTTTTATGAGCAGATGGTGTAATGCTAGTTCAAGCCTAAGTGAAAAGAATTTAACTCACTGATTTGGTTTCCTTTGGTTTAAACTCCGTCTTTGTGTTGGAACTTCAGGTTAAAATTATGCCTCATATTATTGTTACCAGTTATTATCATTTTGCTGTCTGCATTTTGAGTTTTTATTATAGTAGGGGTAGCCTTTTTGCCCAGTAAATGTGTTTGGGAGCGCTGTAATTTTAAAATGTTCAGTTACCAAGAGTTCTTCTGCCTTGGTTAAGGAAATTTGAGTAGTTTCATGTTCTTTGTTTTTTTAATTGAATGCTGATACATCACACATTTTATAAGTAATCTGTGTATATACACAAGAGTTATACAAGGCTTTTTTTACACAGTGCTTTTGAAACAAGAAGTCTCAGTGTGCATGTCTGACAGTCCATCACCATTGCTAAAGTGCAATTCCAATTTTTATACAACAGAGTTGCATATTAGCAACAGTACTAGCCTGTAGTTAAGAAGTTGAGAACACCAGAATTTTAAACATCTGTTCCTCTTCTGTTGGGTTTCAGGAGACACCACAACTAAAACATGGAAGCACTTACTTTTTCAGGTGTCCAGCAAGTACCTCCATGTTAAAGTTGAGGGGATCCTTCTGAGTGCGTTATTTTTAGGACTCTGCCCTGTATACAAGACTACATGCAGTGCAAATACAGAAACAGGATGGAAAACGAAGTAATGTTTTCTACAGATATTATGGTAGAAATATTGTGAAGCCCCACACTCCCTCCCTCATAACACAGAAACCAAAAAGGAAGCTCTTAAATTGTTCTTCTGTTTCCAACATTCCAGTTAAAAGTTTCCAGTTGAGAAGGAAGGATTCACCATCACTAAAACATGGAAGCACTTTCTTTACAGAACAAAGCAAGCACATCCACATTTAAGTTGTGGGGAACCTTAAGTAGGGGGACTGTATTTTTCTGTAAAAGAAACTAGAAAATTACTGTAACAATACAATCAAATCATGCAACTAAATGATAGTTTAAAAAGCCGACATTGGTTATTTCAGCGCTGGGTGCACGCTAGGTGGAGATCTCCATGCACCCAGCGCTGCAATAAACCATGTCAGCGCTGTGTTGTAATGCTTTTCTTTCTCCTCTCACAAAAATGCTTCAGACATTAGGATCCACCACCACTGAAACATGGAAGCACTTACTTTTGTAGGCAGCAGGTACCTCCATGTTAAAGCGGAGGAAGTCCTTTAAAAATTCTTCTGAGCCTACAGACCATAAACTGTCTTGGTTAACGTCCTTATCTGCTTCTGGCCAAAAGTCTCTTTGCCCAAGTAATCGTGTGGTGGGGGAAAAATCTTGACCAAAATAAGAACGAAGTCGTGGACGGCACTTCAGAATTGAGAACAGGATTCACCTCTACTAAAACATGGAAGCACTTACTTTTGTAAAATCACAGAAAGCACCTCCATGTTAAAGTAAAAGGGGTCCACAAAAAAAATAAGTTATCGGCGGTGCTTGTCGTCTTCCACCAGGATCCTGAGAACAGTGCAAATACAAAGAAACAAGTTTTAAATTTTAGCGAAGTAAAAGAAAAAAAAAATCAAAAGAGGATAAGCATTGTAAATACTTGCCTGAATCATTCCCCACGGTCTCCTCCTCTTTCGAGACAAGCTAACAAGTAACTCCTTGTGCTTGTATTTATACCATACCTTGCCATGGAACGGTGTGCCTTTTTATCTCAACGAATCATTACGTGGGTCTTTTGTTATTTTAATGTCTTTGCTCTGTTGAGAATGTATGATCCTGGGTGAGTCTGGATGCTTTTTTGAAGTACACAGTTGTCAATGTTAACAGCTAAAACCATTACCACAAGATATCCTCCTCTTTAAAAATCCTCTATCAGCTTGTTTGATAGTACAGATTAGGGTAACAATGAGTCGTTCTCACAGTGGCACTATAGGCATTGTGTTTCTGTGGAGCAAAGCTCTAGCTGTTTGCAGAAACATCTCCATGTTAAATGTATGTAAATATATAAATTGCTTCCATGTGGTGGTATTTTTTAAACGAAGTGCATTTGAATAGTAAGGAATGTTCTTATCTCAGTAGGTTTTTGGAGAGTTTAACCAGTTGTTGATTTTCGATGAATGATTTTTCTAGAAAGTAAATGACTGATTCTTAATATAGTGACACAGAAGTGGTTTCACTGAACTAATTTGGTGAATTCAGAGTTTGCTGTCTCTGAATTAAATCTGAATATAGTGCCTTTGCGCTCTGTAGTTCCAGCAGAATACAGTTTACTTCTGTTCTAAATGTTTTCTGAATGTATAGGGAATTTGAGTCGCTCTACAAATGAGGTTAATCTTGTTTTAACTTGCTTGAAATGTTTAAAGCAAAGCAAAATTAAAAATGCAGATATGGACAAAGCTGTAGATGAGCAAACTGTGAGAAGACTTTTAATGGGAAAGATCTACACCACTTGCCAAGTTTAGTTTAAGCCACCATCGTAAGACAGATTTGTCTGATGAGTTTCTAAACATTATTTTTATGTTTACAACTGACATACCTCTCCTGGGTTGCCTCTTTACAGGACTGAATGGATGGATTTGAAGCAAGAATATTTGGCTCTTCAAAAAGCCAGTATGGCCTCCTTAAAGAAAACAATGTCCCAAATCAAACCTGAGCCTGTGGGAGAGATGAAAACGAACAATTGTGCACCAAAAAATCTTCAGTCTAAAAATGGCAAATGTAACTGTTTGTTCTTCTTTTTCTTTCTATATGGATAAATGGTGCTTAAGTTGCTGCTCCTCCAGAAACATAGAAAAATAAAACTTATTTTCCTATAATGTAGATGGATTCTCTGAATGCCAACCTTCCCTAATTTAGATTGGTTTAGAAATAAGGAATTTTATAAGCAAACAATTGGTGCAAGAATGCTCCAGTTTCACTTGTTAAACAGAGATTTTTTTTTAGGTAATTGTAATTTTAAAAGCTTTGGAGAAATAAATCAAGAATGAGTTTCTTAATATAATGTTGGCCTGTGTTGTTTAACCATCCCTTGCAAGGTTTACAAAACTATTACTTTAAGGCATTCAAAAATGCCTTATAATGTGATTTGGTCAGGTTTATAGCTAGAAGTTGCATGTTCTTGGTTCTACTTGTTTATTTTTCTGAAATATAATTGTTTCCTTGCCTCCCCCTCTCAGGATCTTCTTTCTCTTACTGCTCACTAACTTTGATAACAGATGTCACTTATTTTAAATCACTATAGAGTTCAGGATTTGATTGTTAACTGTGATGGATAGAATAAAAAAAAATATTCTCGTGTGCTTGTGGACCTACAATTTTTTTCTTGAACTCAATGACTTTGGTGAGGAATCTGGATCCATTATTTTAAAATATATATACTTTTTTCATTTCTGTATACATCACTTTGCTTATGTGCTTTTGTAGAGACTTTGGCTTGTCAAACTGATAAATGTGATTTTTTTTCTCCTTTTTTCAAATTGATCAGCCACCAATGAAGATGGTGCCCCTCCTGTCAAGGCTAACACAATGGGGCCCCAGTTTGTGAGTGGAGTAATTGTGAAGATCATTAGCACTGAGCCCCTGCCGGGCAGGAAGCAGATCAAGGTAATGCCTTTGTAACCTCAGGGTAGCTGTTAGCCTTTCCTCTTACGGTGCCCCCCAAATGTTTGAATATGGAATACGATTTAAACAAGTTTTAATGATATTTTTTTTGTTTGCTTGTGTGTAGCTGTGTGTAGATTCCTCTCTAGTACCTGTTAATGGAAGGTTTTAGGATGGAAAAATACGGTGAAGAGAAATGTTTCAAACAAAATGTAGCCTTTTCAGTGCTTCAACCAAGTCTGAAAATAATGGCAAAAAAAAAAAAAAAGCTCTGGAGGATGAGTAGTCGTCACCTCTACCTCCAGCCCTTCTTGTTCTGTCTTTTCATTTGCAGTGTGAAAAATGTGGTTAATATTATATTGTTAAAAGTAAATCACTGCTAAGACCAATCTTCCATTGGAGGAAGAGGAGCTTGATGTTGATGGGTGTGCCCTTTTCTGTATGTAATTGTGCTACTAATTTTGGTACAAATCAAATTAAGGAGTCCATAGTGGTAAATTGTTTTTGTTTTGGTATGTGATGGTTTATTGTTTTCTTGTGTTTTTTTTAACTGTTAAGAGGAATTTGGGATCAAGAAAATGTGTTTTGTGTGAGAAAGTAGACTTTTGGTTTTAACTCGTGTTATATGCAGACCACATAATGAGAACAAATTAAACACAAGTTCTGAGGTAGCTTACCATACTACTTCTATTTCTAAGAGTACTTTGTTTGAAATTGCTTTCTACTTTCAAGTGTGTGAAGTTGAGTGTGTGCAAAAATATTAGCAAGACTTGAAGGGTATTTTTTGCTGAAAACAAATTGATGGTACATGGGGCTTCAACTTAATCAGTCTTATCTGCCTTGGTATTTGTAGGCAGTCGTCTGAGTGCTGGAGGCACTGAGAGAATGTGGTAGTCGTCATTGTAACGTTTAAGGCCGGTTCAGTTTGACTGCAGAATACATTTTACAGGGTTGAGTTGATGTTGCCATTTAACACACTGTGGTTGGGTGGGGGGGGGAGTTCGTTTTCAGCTACTACTGAAATGATAAACTTCAAGTCTGGTATTTCCAGATAATACAAATCTAGTTATTTTCTTTAGTTTAAGCGACATATTCCAGGGAAATGAAAGTAAAGACAAAATAAGAATGGGGTGGCCTTTGCTGCTGTTAATAATTGTGGTTTCCAAAATAAGGCAAAATATTTTACAAACTGTCACCAAACAAGTGAGGAAAGATTTTTAGGAAGAAATACAATTGTAAAATACAGCTGTAGTTGGTAGAAACAACAATGTGTGGAATGCTCCAGCTGTTTTTCAGGTTGGCAGTGGAAGCTGCGAACTATACTTGATGCTCCCTGGCTGACTTGTGGCTATACCAGTTGCCTCTATGAAATGTATAACTCTTCTTCAAAAACCTTTACTTTGCCTGTACGCCTGGTCTGTCACAGCTACAGCGCTGCTGCCACCAGAGAATGCATTTAGTTTTTTTTGTAGGAAATTTCCAGCGTTTAACTGTGTTTCTTCTTGTATCACAGGCATAGGGAACTTCCACGCACCTGAAAGATCTTTTCAGAGCCTTCCTAATATTATTTTGATATTTCAATTTTTTGCTTTACTACTTCCATTTGCTCCCCTCAGAGATACTTGCCAATTACAGTGTGTTGTATGAGTCTTTGTTTTTCTTTAAACTGAGTTACCAGAATTAAGAGTGAAAAGTAGTTCTGGTTCTCAAATGATCTCAACAATTTTGGTACTTAATTTTCTTTTGCTCTAAGGTTGTGCTTTGTAGTGGATGGGGTTAAAAGCAAGTAATTCTTGAACAGTAGCGACTTGAACTGCCTGCTGTGAACAAAATGGACTAGGAATGTGTGGTTTTAGTTAATTTCCATAACAGCAGGTATTACAAGTGAAGTACTTCATCTGAAAGAGCATGTGTGACTCTTCCTCCTTCAGTATTAGTGAAAATTTTCAGGCAGAGATCACTTCATAAAGATAGGAAGGCCTGGTTTTCTTTACTGTTCAGATAATCTGCCTAGAAGAAGCTTGCATGTGTGGATTTCATATGTAAGAAGATACTGAATATTTTTCTGTTGGAATGACACTTTTCAGTGTTACAGCACACTTTATTTTCTTTTTAAGGAATGTCGGTACAGATACAGTATTGAAACAAAATGGACAGTAACCAGTGTTCCATTAGTCAAAATTTTTCTTAGGAAAAAAATGTCTGTAGGAATTACTGCTTAAAATAGTTCTCAGGAACACAGTGAAAGGTTAATAGATGTATTAAAGTTATGGGCTCATTCAGAACTCTGTAATATCCTTCTTATGAAAGTATATTGAGTCAAAACTATTAGACAGGTATTTTTTAATTATGAAAACAGTTAATTCTTTCTACTTTATAATCTTTTATGTAAATATGAGTGATGTTCCACAAATTGTGTGGTCAAAATAGCTGTTCTGCTGTACTCAGAAGTCTTGTTTCATGGTTTCTGTTCTCACGCACCCTGATAGGATGCCTTGGCAATGCTGGCTGATGTTGCTTATGTTGACATGCTAGAAGGAGACACAGAATGTCATGTCCGTTTTAATACTCCAGAGGATGCGCAGACGGTCATGAAATCTCACAAAGACCTACAGATAAAAAACAACTGGAAATATGAAATTCTCACTGGTGAGTCTTGTTTGCTTGTTTGTTATTTTGTGTGGGTTTTTCTTTGTTACTGTTTTTTTTACTAGTGGAAGGAGACAATTTAAATGTATAGATATTTTCCAGCTTCAGAGACTGACTACAGATCATATCCTTTTTGTGTATCATGTAGTACTTTGGTAGCTTTATGGATAAAATTTTAAGCGTCTTTGTAGCTGTGGAACAGACTGCATTTTTATTAGCTAGTATATCTATTTCCTATAAATCTTAATTTTTTACTGGAATGGAATTAGTAAAATAGTAAATGTTTTTGAGTCACTGTCTAGAGCGAAATAATTGCTTTACTTGCTCTGATTGATTTAATTCTGTTCTTTTGAGATTGGTTTTGTCACTTCTATAGATTTGGACCATAGAACTTAAAGCACATTTTGGCCTTAGAACTATAACATTCTGATGACTGATAAGAATTTAAAATGAAAGATACTAAACCCTCAGCATGGTTATGCTTTAACACCTGCCTTCTGATTAATCTTTTTTTTTTTAGGAGATTGAATAACATATGCCAGGGTAACGCTTCTTAAAAATATAATTACACTAAAATGTTTACTGGTTTATTTATGAGACTTGCTGTAATGTATTTTTTGTTCTGTAATTACTTTGGTATTGTGTTAGATTGAAATATTTTTCTGTGTAAAGAAACATCTTCATGTAAGTGAAGAGCAGGAGAAAGGGATGGGGAGTTAAGAGTTGCCTCAAATTTGATTACTGAGTTCATACTTCTTAATTCTAAACACTAAACATCTTAGATGTACCAAAACATACAAATGAAAGAATCATATAGATAAGGTTATCTTGTCTGTGTGTTTAAATGTCATTATATACTTGCATAGAGCCTTATGGGGTCCAGTTCCATGCATGCATAGATGTAAACCCACATAAAAGACAATTAAGGATTACAGAAGAAATAACTGCAGTGAAAGCCTTAACCTTGATACTATAACCGTTAAAATTTAGGTTTGGTGAATGCTGCTAATGTCATGCAGAGATTATTTGTCCTCCAGAGTCTTGTGTTCCAGAAATCCAAAAAAACCCAAAATGTTCTAAACTACGATTTTATGTGTATTTCTTTTTCCTTATATGAAAGAGCACAGTGGTAGACTGGAAGTAGGTAAATACTACATTGTAGGATCGTTCCATTCATAGTTCTAATTTTTCTTCTCCTGAACTGGTTCATTGGAATGAGAATGGAAAGGCTTTTGAAAAATGCAAAAGGCTGAGTAAGGACTTCAGCTTTTCTTGGTAGTGTAAATGTGAATATGTGAATAACAATAGGGAATCTTTAATGCTCCCTGCTACTTCAGGAGCAGAAGTTCTCCTGGTAATATTTGACTTAATGGAACTTTTGACTATGCTTTTCCTCTGACAACATACTAAGCATATGTGATGGTGTTTTGGTATTGTGATTGAATGTACATAAAATGCAGTTAAAATATCTGTAGAATTGCTTATCAGAATTCCATACTTTCTGTAGAAACCCTTTCCAAGCTAACCTGGAGCCTTCCCAGTGATTGATGGTTTCTCATGAGACTGTATGGCATTTCACCACAAAATTCCTATTGTGATAGTTGCAGTTCACACCAAAAGAAATGGTGGCAAACTGCTTATTTTACTGCAAAACAGTCACTGAAGAAAACTATTTCTGCTCCTTTTCTATCTTCTGAAACTACCCACGCAATCTACAGTTTGCTTCTCACAGTGTGATAAAGCCAAATACTGTCATTTTGCAGTTATTTTTTGATAGCCCACTCAAACCAGAGTAAGTACACCAGTGGATTATAGGGTCTCTCTCAGTACTGTGGTGAAATGTTAGTAAAAATGAGCTCCTCCTGCCAGTTAAGAGTGATGTTTGCTTATTTCTTCAGTTCTTTCTGTTAAGCTTGTAAAGATACTTGCTCAGGACTACCCAGCTACCTTGCCAATCCAGTCCTAAAGTTAATAAAGTTTGTAGTAATTTAGACTAAGGTCCAGTCCAGCATACAGAACACAGGCCCTTGTGTCAGCTTTAAGTTTCTTTAGACAGTCTTTCTTTACATTGTTCACCATAGTGTGTTGATCAAATGTTGCAGGGCAGCATTTTATATAGGGCTGGTTTGTTTATCAGTAGGGATCAGGTTCATAAAAACTAATGGGGGAAAAAATAGTTGAAGCCTACGTTTTTACTCAGTTGAATCTGTTTTGAAACCAATTTTGTGATAAGCAGAAAGAGACAGTTTTGTTTGCTGTCCTAATAAAAATAAATAAAAATAAACAGAATTCTGTTTCTTTCTACAACTGATGTTTAGGTTTGCCTGATCAGTTTTTTTACATGGGATTACCTGAGTTAGAAAAGGTTTTACCAACACAAACAGCATGTTTCTATATTGAATACCTGTATTCACATACTATTATGTTAACTTGATTTTCAAGGTGATAATGAACAACGTTACTGGCAGAAGATTTTAGTGGATAGACAAGCTAAACTTAACCAGCCTCGAGAAAAGAAGCGGGGTACTGAAAAGGTAATTTATGTTTGTCTGTCCTTCCCTTCATATGACCATTGTTGAAAAAACTATCTGGTTTTTCAGAATCTTTGCCTATGTAATTAGTCAAAAATGGTCAGCTTCTACCTAATTTGCAGCATGGCTTTACAGCCACAAAGTATGTAGTCCAGTTGCCAAATGCAAGGATTCTCTTTATGGAGATGAGAAAAACTTGAACCCAGAGCTAATTACATGAGATTAATTTGTAAGCTGATTTTTCCTTTAAAAACTCTTTTGGTTGAGCTCATTATAAAGCAGTCTTTTATTTGCTCTAGGTCATTTGTCTATTGCAATAAACAACATTTCGTTAGAAACGTTGTTAGAGATTACATTAGAAACCTTTTCTCACAAGCATTTATACAGCATTTAATGTACAAGTCTGTGCTGTGGTGAAAGATGGTGTGATTGTAGTGTAATTTCAAATCTGTGCAAAACTGACTTGTATGTTCCAATCCAGACAAATTCATGTACTGCATGTGTAGCTAAACAGCTTCCAAATTAAAAACTAGTCTAGTGAGCTGAGAGCACACCTAAGGTGCTTGAGTATGGTTGTTTTCACTGTCAAACAGATTAATCCTTCTATTTGTAGCACTGCAGTATAATTTTACTCAGTGCTCATTTGGTGTTTTCTTCCACCCTTGATCTTACTGCTGCCATCAGACCACGGTGTTGAGAGAGTGTTGCAGTGAACTTGGCAGGGAGCATCCCCAACTCCTGCCCACAGAACATACTTCCAGTCATGAAGGGTTCTTTATCAAGGGAGTTTGACCTTTCACCCTGAAGAGAGGGGCCAAAAGGTATTTCACAGATGCTTTATTGCTAGGTTTACTCAACACATGTATTGCAGATAAGGCTTCCGAGTTGGCTTTAACCTGTCTTTGTCATTGCTTACAAAACTTCAAAATCATCTGACCTTGTTTTACAGTGACTATATAGACTTGTGGACAAGTTCTGTTTCCAAGATGCCATGTTAATGCACACAATACTGAGTTTCCTAGTTGTCCTATATAATTGGGAAGACATACTGAATTTACAAAAAAAAAAAAAACTAATTGCACAGTCTTCTCAAGCTGTACTATCTTCCTTCTCTAAATGTGCTTCCACGGATCTCACAGATACATGAATGTAGTCCTCTTATTAACAGATTTGCACAACATATTTTTCCAGAATAAGTGATTGGATTTTTCTGGACGTATAAGAGATGTCTTTGAATCTTAGCTATTATTCCTTAATAGAAGCAGTATTGGACTCCATGAATGTGAAAAATAAAGCTTTAATGCTCTTTACTGAGTACTGCTGGTTTCGTGTTTTTTTTTTTTTTTCAAATTAGTCATTATTTTAAAGATATATTTTGCAGTGACTTTGTTTACTTCATACTGTAGGTGTCCTGCTCTCATGATTCTATTTCTTCATCTTTTTGACGATTGGTATTTGTTGACCAAACTGGTGTAAAGTGGCTAGTAATGCACCTTATTTAGGCTTGCAAATATAAACTGTCACAGTTCTGCTTAACAATAGCAGCAGCAGGGATGCAAACTCCTGCTCCTCCCCCTTACCCATCACCTTACAATGCTGGGAGGTGTTAACTTCAAAGCTTAGCAAATGCTGTTTAAATGCTAACTCTGTTAAGCAAGACATCAGGAAAAGAATGTCTAGCTCTAGTCAAGAGCTTTTAACCCTTTATTTAAGTTTTTGCAGCTTGTATTCCAGGAAAAGATAGTACAAAAAAAACCACAGTATTGCTTTATTCGTTAATATGGAAGAATTTTCAACATAAAATATCACAAATGTACTCCCACGTTGGTTCATTCAAAGATCACAGTAAAAGCAAGGAAAATGTGTGCGTATGTACAGCTCAGTATGCCATTGATATATTTACCTTATGAATATCTGCTCTTTTAAGGATTTTTTTAAAGTCCATTACAAGATTATTTTTTTTTTCGAGATGAGCACTTAACTGTTACAGCTCTGTTGGAGACAATATGTTATAGATAACTATTTGAATTAGTATACAAAGCTTGAAAGGTTCGCCATAGTTTGTGACTGATATCTAATCGCCCTTTGGTATATATAGGAGAACTAAAAGGTGTTCAGTGTCAGTATTGTGCTAAACCCTTTTTTATATAATTTCTTTGCCCCAGCCTTGTTAGTTCATTGTCATTTCTGTGCTTGCTTCTTCTAGCTCTTCCAAATCTATGCTTTAGCCTATTGTTCAACTACATGATAAACAATTTGAAGTGATAAAGACTGGAAATCTTGTCAGAAATGCTTCCTTAGGGGCAGTACTAGTTCAGACAAATCTTAAGCAATTAGTGTATAGCTTTAGACTCCATAGACTGATTAGAAGTTGTCTGCTCACAAAGAAGGTGCTGTATGCTTTCAGCCTGGGTGCTTGACTTCTGTGGGTGTTGAAGCTGTCTTATGCTTTGTATACTTCTTACACAGAAGAAAAGAATGAAGTTCAAGAGGATGGGAAGAAGTGGAAAGAATTTGAGGAGGAAGTGAGAATTGGGTGCTAGCGAAGGGAGGAATAATTTGCAGAATAAATGGGAAAAGGGGATAGTGGAGAACAGTGGGAACACTTGGGCACAGCCCATGTTGTTCTTTTCTCATTACACTCAGGGGCTGCGTCTTTGCAAGACTGATTTGTTCCCTGCTTTGCACAGGTGGTGGGGGCTAATAAGAGGAGGAAGGGAGGATCCCATTCTAGAGCACACATTAAGCCCCTTTCATAGAATCATAGAATGGCTTGGGTTGGAAGGATCATCAGGTTCCAACCCCTCTGCCACAGGCAGGGCCACCAACCTCCAGATCTGGTACTAGACCAGGCTGCCTAGGGCCCCGTGCAACCTGGTCTTGAACACCTCCAGGGACAGAGCATCCACGGCCTTTCTGGGCAGTCTGTTTCAGCACCTCACCGCTCTCTCAGTAACAAACTTCCCCCTGACATCCAGTCTGAACCTTCTCTCCTTGAACTTAAAACCTTTCTCCCTTGTCCTATCACTGTCTACCCTTGTAAAAAGTTGACTCCCCTCCTGTTTATAATCTCCTTTTAAATACTGGAAGGCTTCAATGAGTCCACCCCGCTGCCTTCTCTTCTCCAGGCTGAACAAGCCCAGCTCCCTCAGCCTGTCTTCATAGGGGAGGTGCTCCAGCCCTCTGATCATCTTTGTGGCCCTCCTCAGACCCTCTCCAACAGCTTCCTGTCTGTCTTGTATTGGGGGCTCTGGACCTGGATGCAGTACTCTACGTGAGGCTTCATGAGGGCGGAGTAGAGAGGGACAATCACCTCCCTGTCCCTGCTGCCCACCTCTTCTGATGAAGCCCAGGATATTGTTGTCCATCTGAGCTGTAACAGCACACTGCTGGCTCATGTTCAGTTTTTCATCCACCAGGACTCCTATGTCCTTCTCCACAGGGCAACTCTCCAGGAGTTGTTCTCCCATTCTGTATATGTATCTGTGATTACCCTGACCCAGGTGCAAAGCCCTGGACTTTGCTATGTTGAACCTCTTTAGGTTCACATGGGCCCACCTTTCAAGTTTGTCAAAGTCCCTCTGAATGGCATACTGTTTCTTTGCATGCTGCTTTAGCTGATGTCTGTGGAAGGCTGGGCTGCTCTCTGAGAAATGAATAGTAGTTCCAATTAGGTGCAACCATGAAAAATAGGTGCTGGTACTGGATTGATTATTTGAAAATAAGAGTTCTTGAGGCCTTTTTGCAAAAACCCCCATCTGAGGTTTTGACCAGCACTGAGGTGCTGGTATAGAAACATCTGGTATAAATTGGATGGTTTGGTTCAAATCAAAGAAACTCTGTGATGGGTTGCCTTCTGCACAGGTTCCTTCCCCCCACCCATGACCTCAGCACCAGCTGATACTCTCCTAGTCTACATCAGATAAGTTGAGGTGGATTTATGCTGGTGCTTTATGGATTTGTGTCCAGGTTCACCACTGTTCCCTGCTTTCTCACCTTTTATCCAGACAAGGAAGTCTGTTTTGCTCCTTACATATTTTTGCTCATGTAACAGTTATTATGAGCTTTTGCTTACATATAAGGAATCATTCCAGCAAGAGTACTTGCATCTTTGCTTTCAGATGTTATCATGGCATTGTTGCAGTGCTGTAGTTAAATAGGAGAGTGTTCTAGTATGGGTGCTTGAAAAACAAGCATGTTTGTAAAGTTGGGCTCAGTGTTTTGTTGTCAAAGTATACTTTGTTGTCACAAAGTATGTAAGTTGAAAACTAGCAGGTTAGTAATGTTCCATGTTTTATGGAGAGCAGTTAACTTTCTAATTTACCGAGAAATTTCTTGAGTACCACTAGTGACTGCACATGTATATTCTGAAATGAATGCATGAAAGAGAAACAGGCTGAATTAAACTGGTTAGACTATCAAGTTATGGTGGTTTTTTGGAAAAAAAAAAATCACTTTTGCAAGGAAGCACAAGAACTATTTTACCTTCAGTAGGTGATGTGTGTGAGAATTTCTACTGAGGTTTTTTCCCTCAAGTGTAAATATCCTACAGGAATGTGGATAGCTAAATTCAGAGTTTACTACAGAGATAATAGGTTATGCTGAAGTCTAGATTTGGGATATCTCCCTGAAGTTTGGTTAGCTATGGGAAAAGGGAACAATGTTCTATGCCAGCTTGCAGTTATGTTGCAGGAGTCATCTGAACTGATGAGGAGCACCACTTGTCAGAGTAGTAATATACAGGTGTCCTAGCTGATCATCTTCTGCAAAGCAAGAAAGGCTGCTTTTCTGAAAAGAGTCTGGATTACTGCCATGAGTAAAAGATAGCATGGTCAGAGAGTTATTATTATGAGTTATAATCATCTGCAATCAGACAGGGAACTGAGGCAGGCAGTTTCAGCAGTATGGCAGTTCAGTGCTTACAGCTTCAAATTGTTTGGAAAAAGTTTGGAAAAAGTAAAACAAACCCAGATACTGTAGTAACTTTACCGGCCTGACGTAAAATGCAGCCAACATCATACTGACCGCTGGTCAGATAGATTTCAGTAAGGGATTCCTAGCATAAATACTTCTCCCTACTACACTATTGTTCTTTAAGAGTAATTCTCAGCAGAGCTATGATGTGTTGTGCTGTTTTCCCAGCATGAAGGATGCTTCTCCTTCAGGATTTCAGTGCTCTTGTCTTTGCTACCTTACTTTAAAAAATGACACAGCAGTCATACGGCTTTTTTGCATGTCACCTTGTTTATCTTATATCATCAGTGATAGCATGAATCCAGTAAATGGGTATGTTTTTTAATTTCCTGTATAGCACTGCATTTTGTGATTTCTTAATGCACAGTTTTGTTAAGCCATGGTCAGAGGAAGAAGGACTGGAATGAAAGATGCTGCAGTGTCCAGAAATGGAAGGGATGCCCTATTTTATTTTTGAATGCTCTGAGGCCCTACTGAAGTATAGCTAATTGGGGCTGCTTTAGCTTTTTGTTGCATGTACAGATTAGCTTTTCTGTTCAAACAATATCTTTTTCTTAGAAAACTTGGTAAATCAGTGAATACTACAATCATGATTTGTACAAAACTGTAATTTTAGTCAAATCATAATTTTCTTGTTAACTTTCTTCAATGTTTTTCATGTTTGTTTGCAGTTGATTGCCAAAGCTGAAAGAATGAGACTTGAAAAAACTCAACAGACAAGTAAACATATTCGCTTCTCTGAAGATAACTAACCAAGGCTGAATATAGTCTTGAAATTGAACCATGGATTTAAAAAAAAAAAAAAAGGAAAAAACCAAACCCATCACTGCTTACAGCAACTAAACTGTTTTTAAGAAGGAATCAAAAACCCATTCATTTGACTCATAATTCTGCAGTTTGCAAGTATGAACATTACTCCAAATCCCATTTTTGAATAGGCTGAATGTTTACTGCTTCTGAGCCTTTAGGTAGAGCTTTATGGAGAAAAAAAAATGTATCAAGAGATCTTGTTCTAGTTCACCTTCGGGTTTTTTGTATGTTGAAGTTTTATACACCAGGTTATGAAATAAAATGCTTGACAAATTTTCAGTTGTGTTTCTCTAATTTGATGTTTTGACACTATAAATAATAAAACCGTTTAATGGTAAATACATCTCTCTAGGCCTCTATCTAGTTCATCAGACCATTAAAAAACGCAGTAAAATGAATGTATACTCTTATGTGTATTTTAAAATGACTGGGGATGTGTGAAAATCTGTCACTGAGGAGTCTGAAAATAATTAATGTGAAGTGCTTGCTTAACAGGTCTTGTAGTTGTAAT